ATTTTTAATATTTTGTTGAGAATCCTTTGCAAGCAATGACTGCCTTAAGTCTGGAACTCATGGACATCACCAGAGACTGGATTTCCTCCTTTGTGATGCTTTGCCAGGCCTTTACTGCAGCTGACTTCAGTTGTGTTTGTGGCTCTTTCTGCCTTTAGTTTGGTCTTCAGCGAGTGAAATGCCGCTCAGTCGGGTTGAGATCAGGAGATTGACTCGGTCATTGCAGAATATTCCACTTTTTACCTTCTGGGTAAACTCCTGGGTTGCTTTTGCTGTGTGTTTTGGGTCATCGTCCATTTGTACTATGAAGTGCCGCCCAATCAACTTTGCTCCATTTGACTGAATTTGGGCAGAGAGTATATTCCTATACACTTCAGAATTCTTCCGGCTGCTTCTGTCCTCTGTCACGTCATCAATAAAGACCAGTAACCCAGTGCCACTGCATGCTCATGGCTTCACACACTGCTCCACCATGTTTCACAGATGCTTTGGATCATGAGCTGTCCCAGGCCTCTCCATACTTTTTTCTTCCAGTCGTTCTGGTACAGGTTGATCTTAAATTCAGCCATACAAAAAATGCATTTCCAGAAGTTTAGATGTTTTTTGGCAAAGTCTAATCTGGCCTTGTTTGCACCTTGTGGTGAACCCTCTTTATTTGCTCTCTATAGTCTTCTCTTGATTGTAGACTTTGACAGTGACATGCTTACCTCCTGGAGAGTCTTCTTTACTTGGCTGGATGTTGTGAAAGGGTTTTTCTTTACCGTGGAGAGGATTCTCTGATCATCCACCACTGTTGTCCTCCGTGGACATCCAGGCCTTTTTATGTTGCTGAGCTCACCTGTAACAAATGCGGCTGGTAGCCATCCATCCAACTACCAGAGGGAGCCCTCTCCCGAATACTGACAGTCTGTTCTTCGTTGGTTACTTCCTGTTTGGTTCCATATTTACAGCATGCGGTCCCATATACTCACTCCGAAGTAGTGCCAGTTCTTACTGCCTTACCAAGCGTTTCTCATCCAGATTTGCTCTATTGTTATTACCATTGTGCCTGCCTTATTTGACCACTTCCTTTTGGATTACAGTTTCTGCCTTGTTTGCCTTGTTGGACTGACTTCATGTTTGCTTGTAACCAGCCTGTCTCACCTACTACGATACAGCCTTGTGATTTGGATTTGTTTGCTGAGTGTTATTAAACTTCTTGCATTTGGATCTTACACTGCCTCCGTGTCGTCGCCTATGGCATCCTCACATCACCAGTGCATTCTTTTTTTTTCTCAGAATGTACCAAACTGTTTATTTGACCACTCCTAATGTTCCTGCTATCTCTCTAATGGATTTGTTTTGTTTTGAAGCCTAACAATTGTCTGTTTTACTTGTATGGAGAGCTCCTTTGACCGTATGATGTAGGTTCACAACAACAGCTTCCAAATGCAAATGGCACACTTAGAATCAACTCCAGACCTTTTACCTGCTTAATTGATGTAGAAAGAATGAAAGAATAGCCCACATCTGTCCACAAAACAGCTTTTGAGTCAATTGTCCAATTAGTTATGGTCCCTTGAAAAAGGGGAGAGGTACATATTAAAGAGCTGTAATTCCTTAACCTTTCCTTAAATTCTGATGAGAATACCCTCAAATTAAAGCTCAGAGTGTGCACTTTAAGCCCATATTCATTATATAACTGTAACTTGAATATGTTTTGGTCAGCAACTAAAATAATAAAAATTGTCCCTGTGTCCAAATATATATGGACCTGACTTTATATATGTATGTATGAAACACTGCTGTGAGGGTGTTTCTAATGCAGCTGCTGAGGGAGTAATGGTAAATTTGCCATCATTCTCTCTTCTGACCGCCATAATCCATATGTCTATATTTTTTCACTGTTGGAAAGTCATTGAAAGGCAATACTGAATTTTTTTCTTTCATCTTTGGTGCAAATGGTAAAGTGAAAATTAGATTTGCTGTGGTCTCTTATATACCTCTATGGAAGTGTACCCAGTTTATTTAAATCCAGAAATGTGAAAAAGGTCTAATGTTCATTCGTATATCTCTTTTGAGCAGGGTGTTAACATATTTGGAAAGGTCTTGAAAATGTTATTAAAAAGCTTTCAGCTGGAAGTGCTGATACCTGCAGATACCCTGTGATGATTTTTGTGATTCTGGTCCCTATGAGCTAACTGCCTCTATTTCAACTTTTCAGAAAACTTTAAAAGGCAAACAATGTTATTGTGAGCATTACACAATAGCAGGTTACTACAAATTTACCCATTACAACCTCAAAACAATCCTTTTACAGATTCTTCGAAAATGTCAACATTATTAATGTCAGAATTAAGTATTGGCAGTGGCACACTGCAAAGAATAAAATTGTGATTTGTAGATGAATTGATTTTCTTTGAATGGCTCATTTCATCATTCATTGCCTGTTCCATTATAATGTCACTGCCATTTATTCAACAAATTACAGTTTATCACCAACATAAATTATTATGCTTTGACCCATAAGAGAATGCCATCCAGCAGAGACCGAAGTCTGTTTTTCTATTGATTTTGACTGTGACAAAGGCTGAAGGAAAGGCATGCAATTTTGGTAGACTAGCCAGAGTGCATTTAAATTGAGCTGAATTAGTTACGGGTACAGTACAAAGCATTTCTTCGGTGCCTGGTAGCGCTTGTTCTGGTGATATTACAACTTGAAAAAGCAAAATCGTCTAAGGCACCCATGTGAGATGTTAATTTAAAAATCCACTCTGCCAGGTATGAAAATGCTAGTTACTCGCAAAATAAATGTGTCCTAATTATGTTTGTTGGCATATGTGTGTGTGATACCAGGAGGAAGATGAAGTTCCAGATGATGAAACTCTCAATCAGATGATTGCTCGTAATGAGGACGAATTTGAGCTTTTCATGGTAAGACTGAAATTGCTCAAAATTGGCTACTTTTACAGTTAGTCCCTTGCATGGTGATTCACAGTAATTGTTGTCTCTTTGAAAAGAAAGCCACGTGTTTTTGTGAATTTGTGCATTTTGAATCCATTTAGAAGTAGAACAGGAAACGTACCAGTTACTTTCAAACTTAAGTAATCCATTAATGGCACTTTTAGCGCATGGATTTAGACCGCCGTCGAGAGGATGCACGCAACCCTAAGCGTAAACCTCGGCTAATGGAAGAGGATGAGCTGCCATCATGGATCCTGAAGGATGATGCTGAGGTGAAGCGGCTTACCTGCGAGGAGGAGGAGGAAAAGATTTTCGGCCGTGGCTCCCGTCACCGCAGAGATGTCGACTACAGCGACGCATTGACGGAAAAGCAGTGGCTGAGGGTATGCTGCTTGTGTTATATTTAGTTCATTATAGTCCATGACAAACATGTAGAATGACACGTGGCATAAACATAATCCCATCCATATGTTGAGAGCGCTTGTTACCATAGCAACAGGTAGTCTTTCTCTTTTTCTAATGGTCTTTTTTTTTATGCTGCATGGAGGTGCACAGTGATGACTCCTCATTATGAGTGTTTCCAATTTGCCATATTCAAGTTGTCAAGTTACTTCCCTTAAGGTTCAGTGCTGATTAGTGTTGTTTTCGTATTCTTTATATACAATAATAGTGTTCATTAATATTTTGATTTGGCTTTATTTTAACATTTATTTTTATATTTAGCTATTGGGACAGCCATCATTTATAAAATGTACAAAGCCCCTGTTCTTTGCATATTCATTTATAAGATATTTTGGTTAATTTGATAACAGCTGTCAGCTACCAATAAGAGTGTAGTGATCTTCTGTCTGAGCCTAAATATATGCCAAAGGTTTGAGGACCTAGAGAACCAGATGGAGATATAACAGCGATCAGTTTTTGCTGGGGTTTTCAAGTCACTGGCTTCATTGTATGTTTTGATCAGTTGAGTATGAATCAAATTTCAGTATAAAGGTCCATAAGAATCAGAGCAGAGCAAATTGTTATTAAATTGTTTTTAGAAAATTGTTATTTAAATCTGTGTTGATGTAGAAAGATACAGTTTTGCAATATAAACCTTTGACAAAAAAAGATTAAAAATCAAAACTCAAAAAAGAAAACATCAACATTTTACTCAAGTTAGTGTTGAAGAATTAATGGGTATATCTTTTCACTACTTCTAATGATTGCACATCATATAGCCACAAGACTTTTAATGATCTGTAGAGGATTTTGTTTGCATTCTGTAAATAATGTATTAAGTGGGTTGGAAAAGGTTTGAAGCATAGCGAACAGTGTGTATTATATTATCGGTCTGCTCATCTTTTTTCCACAACATATCCAACTCGATCAATGAACCCAATTGCATTACACTGAATCTCCCAATCCCAAATAGCTCATTTTCTTATTCGCCATCCAGACACAAATTGACTGTCCCTCACTCTAACAAGCTTTTTCCTCTGTCATTTTCTTCCACAAACCTGTCTCAGTACAGTCCTCATAAACTATTTCAAAGCTACCCAGTGGATTGTTTCCGGTCGATAATGAGTGCCGAAACTGTTTCCATAGGGCATTGCGGTTGTTCTTTGGTGAGGGTTCGTCTGCTACAGGGTTTGGCTGGAAGGTAACAAGAGCAAAACTGTATTTGAGCACAGAGGCTGAAGGTGTAAAGCAGCAAGGGAGGTAATTATATGTGGAGCCAGCTCCTGGTAAACAGAGAGCCACTGAGGAGTAAAAGTATACTGAGAGAGGAAGGAAGTTCGACACATGGCAATCAGATCTTTTGGGGCAACAATGTGGGGTCTGTGAGTTTTATGGGGTGGAAAAAGACCACTTTGATTAAAGCTATCAGAACCACCTTGCTTTTATTGTGGCTTGACAGGTGATTTGGGCCTTGAAAATAATCTTATTTAGTGTCTCACTGTTTTTCACCTTTTTTTGCTGTTTAAGTAAAACGCACCATTAAAGTGTGAGTAAATGTTTACCGTATGATAGTGTTGTTGGGCGATATGCTCAATTTTCATATCAACCTATCGTCAGCCTGTGAGATCGCCAATACACAATATTATTGTGCTTATTTATTTAATTAATTATTTACCAACTTAAGAGTAAGGCTAAAAGCAGCCTAATGTTTTTAATGTGACTGAATGATGATAATAATAATTGCATTCACATTTGATTCAGTTTGCAAATTTGTTAGTGATGTAGAGATTTTTTCAAATAGTTTTTATTGTTATATTTGATCCAATTAGATAATAATAATAATTCATTACATTTATATAGTGCTTTTCTAGGCACTCAAAGCACTGAGTAAAAGAAAAAACCTGAGCCTGAACTTTTTTCTGGGGGGTGGGGGTTGCTGGGTTGGACACATACACAGGGTTATTTGGCAAACAAAAAAGAAAATGATTTTCCTTGAACCTAACTACATTTACATTTACATTTAGTCATTTTGCAGATGCTTTTATCCAAAGCGACTTACAATTGGGGGATACATAAAGCGATTCTTCTTAAAGAGGCAAACAGATACAGGAAGTGCTTGTAATACCAAGTTTATAGACATTGTTCAAATAAGTACAAGCTAGAAAGAGAATGAATAAATAAAGAGAGAGATTTTTTTTTAAATTTTTTTTTATAATGATGATGATGAACGTTACTTTTATTTACTCATTTATTTACTATTTACTTTTACGAAAACATTCAAACGAAATATCAAAGAGTATCATTGAGCTGTTCACACGCCTATGTTTCCATTAGCCCTTGACAGGCTCAGACTACAGATTATGGTGGGATATTTGAAACAGCGATACCAAGAAAGTTTACTCACTACAATATGGTGCAAACACATGTAACATTTAGGATGCTTTTGATTTCAAGTTTTGCTGTTTAGCTTTGTCGTTGACAGGGTACAAGATGACCTACACTCTAAAACATGAAATTTCTGAAATTGTTTTGTTCAAAAGAAATAATGGTAAATTAAATACTAGGAAATTATTATAAAATAGGAAATATACAAAGACAGTTTACAACAGAAAACTACAGTTCAGTTTAAATAACAACAACAAAGACATTAAAATGGTCCAAGAACTGGTAAATTAAACAGGGTTCATACAGATACTGCAAAATAAAATTCCAGGACTTTCAAGGCTACTTTTTTCAATATTGTTATTATCTTTCAAATTCTAATAAATAAACTAATAAAACAAAATGGTACAAATAAAGTGCAGCACATGCTAATAATGTAATGACTGTGGCAACTTTAACATTTGAAAGGATACTATGGCAAAGTTATCGCTTTCAAACTAATTTTTTTTTTTCATGAATATATGATTGACCTGAAGAATGAAAGCTATATCATACACTTGGAAAATTATGAGCTTTATCACGCTCATAGACACTAGGGGTGTGACAAT